GTCCCTGCAGAACTGCTGTGTTAGAGCTACTCACTGGTGGCATGTCACTGCAGAGCACTGCTTTACATTTGTGTGACAGGACAGTATCCTGTTCTCCAAGCCACCTGTTTTTAGAAGGAGGAAGAAAGCTTGTGGTTGTGTTATGAAATCATTTCCAGTTAGGTAGATAGTATCTTCAACTCCATCAGGTAAGTTCGGGTTGTCTTTAAATGTGTAGCTTTCATTTCATAGATGTTCAGTACTGACTTTAGTCTTTCCACTTTTATGTAGTGTTCCTATTCACAGAATAGCCAATCTGTTTAGATGACTCCTAAGTTTTGGCCCCTTCCTTTCTGGTGGCAGTAATTTCCTGAGGCAATTTTTGTGCTCTTCTGCAATGATATTTAGAAGATTATCACAAACCATAATTGCTGGAAGAGATGGGTTGTAACCACATATCTCAGTATTTACTTCATTACTAGAAGGCAGTCAGTGAACCTGCGTAGAATATGGTGGCTTGACTTAATCCAAAAGGTTAGCTCTTAATTTTTTTAGTATTTGCATGTGTTTATGGAGGCATCTATTTCCTTTTCTTTAATCCTGGCCTTTTTTGTTCTTTTTAATCAAGTTCCCTGGAAATAATGCACTGGAGAGAGGCTGTTGTTCTTTATGTAGAGCTCGTTCTTTGGGTTTTTCGTCTTTCTGTCTGCAAGATGCAAAATGCCTTACCATCCTGTAATCTAAACTCTTGTTATTGGGGCTTGGTAAATCAGTTTGACATCTAGTTGAGTATCTGAGATGTCATTGCTGAAGTTTGTCTTTTCAAGTTAACCTTTAAATATATTGAATCCATTCTGCAGTTTTTCAGACCCCAACTTCACACATTAATGCAGCACATCTTCCATGACAGGAAACATCAGATATTTTCAACTAATCATGTTCTGGTTTTGCTTTTTTCTTAGTGTTAATAATAATTTCTGCATTTAAAAATTGTATAGTGACAGGACAAGCAACCTGTCAACCTTGTTCACTCCTAATCCTGCATTCAGGAGTTTATCACGGGTGAATCAGTGCATATCCATCCATTACTTCTATTTTTACATTATCATTAAGATCAAAATCTCATCTTAGATCATTAAATCATACAAAAATCTCACTGAAGCCAGTGGGAGTTTTGCTTTTCCTTACTATTAAAGTATTTGAGAAGAAACGTAATGCTTGGAGATGCTAATTGTGTAGGCTTCAGGTTTTGAGGGCAGGTAATGTCTGGCAGTATTTTTTGTGCTGGGTCTGGATCTGCTAGCAGCCATTGTGGCTGTTCCAGTCTTTGATTTTGTGTAAAAATATGTGTCACTGTTCATAGAACCATAGAATGGCTCACCCCCACTCTTCACCCACAAACAAATCCCCTCTCCCCCCCCAGAAAACAACCAACCACAACAAAAAAAGGCCTTTTAGAATCAAAAGCAAGAAGTTAACTTTGGATTTGCATCTCTGGGAGTCAAGGTGTGGGTTGCTTGTCTGGCAGTGAACTACAGACTTGTGGGCTAGCACTTAAAAACTGCTGTGATATTGGCTACCAGTCTTTTGAGGTCCCTTATTCTTCTGAGGTGCCAAGCTCTTACATCCCTACACCTGGAGCTTCTATATGGACACTGGGTTCAAGGTGTCTCCAGTCAGATACTCAGTTTTACAAAGTTTTTGAAAACATTGGTCATAGAATCCAAAGCATATTTCATGGTCCATAGGTCTTTGTAAGCTCAATTTGTGAGGATCAAGATTGGAGAACAAAAATGATGATATACTTCCATGTGCAGGCTCAAATAGTAATAGAAGTATCATTACCCTGGTGGGGCTGCTTTTAGATGAGAAACATCACGATGTTACTTTAGAAGAACATTATGTAGGTTAATTGTTGGAAGATGTTTACACAGCTTCTAAAATGGCAGATTTATGTTCTGTAACAATCAAAAGGACATCCCAGGAGCTCACCATTGCCCCTCAGCTCCATCTGTCCAGGAGTGGTTCCAAGACTGGACTTTTCCTGCTGCTGTAAGGAGGAACAAAAATATATGCTAAAATAAGAGAAAGAAGTGCCGAATCACATTTTTTTCAATTAAGGCTTCACAAAAAAGTCTTTTTAATCTTAGTAAATGCCCAGGTGTCTGATTTTCTTGAGTATTTATACTTATTTTAATACCCACTCTTAAGGCCAATAAGAGCTAAGCATGTAAATCCCCAGAGAACTGATGAAAAAAAGCAATCCCCTTCACTTAAATGTAAAAATAAACCATTTGGCATGTTTATGCAGAAAAGAATCTCATAAATTATTGCGGGTTTTTTTTCCCCTCTGTCATCTAGTACTTTCTTAGCTAGATTGAAGGCATGCACAGCTTTCTGCTTGCATTTTTTTTTCTTTGAAGTGATGGTGAATATATTCATTAATTTAGAACAAAAAAATCTGCTAATTTGTTACTTGTCTTCTGTTTCAAATGGATGATCTAAAAGGCTGAAAGTACTTCTTTTTTTTTTGGTGCAGTGCTACTTGCAGTTTGTTGTGAGGGAAATAACCTCTGTAGGATTTTTAAGCAGTGTTTTCCTTCAACAAAACCTCCAGGTCACAGCTCATCCAATTACATGCAGAAGAAGGCAAGGAGACAGAGCTAATCTGGGGAGCTTTCTTTTTCAGCACCAAAGTTTGCATTTCTTTTAATGTAGTTAAAACATTTGACAGGAGAGAGTAGGGTTTAGTGATGTGAGGTGATTTCCAAATGAGTGTTAGCTTTTTACTGACCTACTTTTGACTAGTGGCGTATTCTTGTCCGTTACTTTTTGTCATTGAATAATGCTGATATATTAAGCTGTGTGCTTCAAGGGCATTGTAAAATTGCATGTAGGGGCACGACTGAACTGTGAAAGTGCGAATTACTCTATCAGATCATACCCAATTAAAAAGTGACAAGCACAGCAGGAGAAATTGAAAGCAAGGTTTATCTTTCATGTAACATAAGAAGTCACTATATCGGTTAGAAACAAAGTGAGTGTGAAACAGATTCTCCACCTCTTCTCATCCCTCTTCAAAAATTAATAATATCTGCTGACTTTATTATCCAAAAGAATAAACCCCTGAGTTGAAACAGCTCATGTTGAAGGATATTATGACAATAGCAAGTGAAGGGGAAGTACAGCAGCCATACACCTTTAAGCTGTCTGCTATCAAAGCATGCACTGGCCCTCAGGTCAGCACATTGGGGACTGACTGATAGGGAGTTTGGGAAAAGTGGTGGTATTTTATATAAAGCTGTAGTGTGTCATTAAAGGAAAGCTTGCAGTCTTGCAGGCTCTCCACAGTTCTGCAGGAAGCGTAGGAATAAAAGCATGGTAAAGAAATGGAGAACTTCTGCTAAGTCCTGTAGTCGTTAGAGAACTGCTACAAGCTGAGGAAACTTTTTTAGTCTCCAGTGCCATTATCCTTATATAACCTTTTGCATAACATTCATCAGCACTCTTCTCATGGTGAAATGGGTCTGTGAATATACAAATGAATGCAGTTGTCTAAGTAAAATACAATCTTCCAGAATCCTGCTGGCTCAAGATGTGTTGCAGAACCTCTTCTGACAGTGAACCTGGATTAAGGATGTTACAAAATTGTGGTGCTTTCTAGAGTACTAGGGTTGTGGTGTTTTGTTTTGGTTGCTTGTTTGCTTGCTTTTGTCATCATTTGTAGGGTTTGGGGGATGTTGCTATTCTGATAAAATCTCTTTCAAATTAAATACCTTCCCCCCAAAGTAAATTACCTTTGCAAAATGTGTCCTATATATGCTATTAGGATGCAGACTGCTTAAGTGATCTGTAACTGCTGTGTGACCAGGTAAATACCACTTTCTGCAGACAGTTGATGTTAGGTTGACCCTGATGATCACTGCTAATGGTAATACCCATGTGGTTTCATTTAGTGAAGTCCTCTGTGTGCAAGTGTGTGTGAACAGAACTTTAGCACAGCTGATTTGGTTAATGCTGAGTTTTCAGATTAGGCTTTAGTGTGTGACATTTTATTTTGTGATGGAAAAAAAAGAATGAGGGAGGAGAGGGGAGTGAGAAATATGAAGTACCTGATATGTGTAAACTGTGCTTGGAGGCATTATTGTATTGTAGGGAAGATAGAGGGAGATGGATGGTTACATTGACAGGGTACCTCATCCATGTAGCAAGCTGTGCCTGTCAAAACAGTGATGCTCTGTAGAATGCATTTTTATGTAAAATGTATGTTTAACCGATGTACAATGAGTTAAGAGTTTAGAAGTGACCAACTGGTTTATAATCTTACTAGGCTAGGAGTTGGCAAGCAGCTATTAGGGAGAGGAAAAAAAAAAGTTATCATAATGTGAATATGGTTATTCTCTAAAAGCCTCCTGCTTCCTGGAGGGGATTTACCTTTTCCCCCACTCATACCTATGATGGAGGACCAAGTGTCAGCCAGAGGAATGGCTTTATTATTGTGTGTTACGATGAGTGGTTTATTGGAGTTTCTTCTGAGAGAAGTAGTAGGGACTCATGCAGACAGTATCTAGGTACCCAGTTTACAAACAAACAGACAAACCCGAATGCCAAACCACAAAAACCATCACAAATCTTAAACAATCTTTAGTGGTAACTCTTTCCATTCTATACTGTTTTGGTTTTATCAAAACAAGTTTGATACAAGATTCATAACATTTGAAAGGACTCGTGTGTGTGGACTGACAAATTAGTTAAGCTTCCTTGCTTCTCCTGACAGTAAAGGGGAGGACCTAGGTGTGTGGAATTTACAAGATATATTAATGCAATACAGATACAATAGAAAAAAAGGGAAAGGACACCCACACTGCAATTTGAATATGGGAAAGATTAATGGAATTACAGTTTCTAACATATATATATATATAATTTATATATATATATATAAAACCTGTGGATAAGAAATGAGTTGGTTAAAAACTGTACACTTATACCATTACCTAACTTTAACTTTTATTTTGCAGTCACCAGTGTAAAAGAAAATGCTGAAAAGTATATGGAGATACTGGAGGATAAACTGCATAGGTAAGGATGATTATAAAGGAAACCTTTGTAAGCTTAAAAATGCTTGTTAATGCAGCATTGATATGCATAAAAGTGTTCAAGAATGTTTTGGAACTTGTGTTAGTATGATACAAAAAATTGTTCAAAGCTGGAAACCCTGTAAGTGTTATTGTGAAGATCTCTGTGGCTGTGCTCGGCAGCTTTGCCACCAGCCTATCAATGGATGCAGGTAAAAGAAAAATCACTGTGTTCCTAAGTGCATAGACCTGCTCTGAAGCGGTGGTCGGATGGCTGGAGAAAAGGGAGCACATGTATGGTTGGTGTGCATTGCTCAAGCTCTGGTCGGATGGCTGGAGAAAAAGGAGCATGCATATGGTGGGTGTGCATTGCTCCAGCTCTGCCTGCAGGTGCTGTAATTGGTGGTGTGAGCTCTTGAACACCCAGAAGCCCTGAAGTATTTGGGATGTGACAGCTGGTTGAAAAAATACTCATCTGTTCCTATGCAAAACCCAGCTCTGAGCAGAGCCAAGGAATCCCATACTAGAATTCTGGGCATCTTTAACAAGTAATGAGTCTTTATATAATAGTTTTGAAAGCATGCCATTTTGGGTGATTGTGGAAAACAAATAGAAACCAAGACAACAATGGAGATATTTTAAGAACTGAATCCTAATGCAGAATTTGCTTATTTTATGCCTTTTTTTTGCCTGCTGCCTTTTTTCTTTTTTTCTTTTTTTTTTTCCACCCCAAATGCTAGCATTTGCATTTCTTTCTCTTACTGTGTGAAAGGGGCTCTAGATCACCCCTTAAATTTTAGGCTACTCCTTGAAATAGGCTTAACAAATGTTGCAGTGCTGTTATAATGAATATTTTACATAAGTGGATTTTGCTTGACCTCATTATTTTTGGTTGTATATTTATAAAAAGAGGTTTCTAGATGTTTAGATTTGCTCACTCATACTTTTGAATATGGAAGTATTTATTTTGAGTAACTCTTAAATTTAAAAGCAATTTAGTGCTAAGTGAAAAATGATGGAAACAGACCTCAAGATCAAGTTGTGTGACTGTGTGCTGCCTAACCCCCTCTTAATATCATTTTACTTCATGACATAGTTTAGCAGTGAGCTTGGCAGTCCTGGGGTAATGGTTGGACTTTATGATCTTAAAGATCTTTTCCAACCTAGCCGGTTCTATGGCTCTATATACTCCAATCCATAAGCGTAAGACAAGTCTTAAGAACTTTCTGAGGGTTGTTGTTTTGAAAACAATATATAATATTAATATAATATTATAATTAATGTTTTAATATTAAAATATAATGTATAACACCATGTATTGATTTTTCTAGGCTGTATAGATTCAACTGACTTACCAGGCTCCCGGAAACAAGTAAATTTCTCTGTAGCTATTAAATACTTGGAGAATCTGTATGTTTCCCCACCACCACCACCTTCCAAGGATTCAGTAGATAGACTCTGCAGCTGTTATATGTTTTAATTTATTTATGCCTTTTCGTGTAGTTTTGGGGTTGTTTACCTGGACTTTTCTGCACCAGTATTTTGTATTAGTACACATTTTTGTGTATCTTGATAGGTGTTGTCAGTGACCTTGCAGCATGGTTTTTTCCACTCTTCTGCTATTTCTGGGAGACATTTCCATGCTAAACTGCTGGTATTCATCCTGCTTCTGTGAGAAGTATCATTTCAGGGGGAAGGATTAAAAGTTAAACCCTCTTTTTGGCACTACTTTATATTTTTGAAGCATATTTTGATGAGCAGTAGATGACCATTTCAAAGTTCCCTTAGAAGATGAAAGAGTTGTCAAATATTGTAATATAATTTGTTGCTTTTGTATGCAAGGGTTGCCTTTCTGAATACCCCATAGACCTGGCCTCAGTCTAGGTTCTCTATTGCAACCAGGCTTCAAAGGTTTGCTATTGAGATAAGCGTTCATCCAGCCTTTGCTGAGGACACAAATGCACGAAGTCAAAGTATATCACGGCAGCTGTACCTACACTTTAAGATGCAGTTCAGGGCTTGCCATCAGCTTCTGTAACAGACTGTTGTGGTGTTGCCAGGCTTCTAAAATTTTTCATCCTTATCTTAAGAATTAAAAATAAATAATAAAAAGCCCCAAACAGCACCCCCCAGCAACAATGAAACCCCCTAAAACTCACCAAATAAACCCAAACCAAACTCCCCCAAAACCTACTGCAGTGCTGGCCAAGCTCGCAGATGGTGAAGATTGAGTCCTGTAACAGTGTGACAGTTTTTCAATACGTACAGATGCTATTATTTTAAAAATAGTTTATCCCAAGTAATTAAGGGAAGAGAATTTCTTTTAATATTGGTGGAAAGAGAAAATCTCTGATATTTTTGACAAAAAGAAGTCTCTAAGATACTACATCATTAAAATCTTTTTTGTATTTATGCTAATAGATTTGTCATAGATACTTGTTTTTTAAAGGTTCTTTGGACTTTAAATAATTAACTACACCTGCTATACAGCTTGAGTAATTAAAAAAAGTAAGCAAGAGCCCAAGAGGCTTCCTCCCCTCCAAGCACCTACCCTTAGAGAAATAACTTGAGAAACTGTTTCTCCTTGTTTGGTCTTCATATAGATGCCCAGATTACTGCTTTATGTATATCATAACCTAAAAAAAGACTCTCTAAGGAAAGTTTAAAGAGTAAATTGTAAGTTCACGTTGTAGACAGAGGAAGAATTTGCATCTGGCTCATGGATGCACTTTTTTTGATGCCTTTGAAACCAGTAGAGGATCAAATCTGTGCAGCATGAATTCAAATAAGCTTCTAAAGTTTTTCCTTCAGCTAAAACATATAATTTTGCTAGGCGATGTTCTAAGTAGGAACCTAGACTCAGAACCCTTCAGTTTAAGAAATACCTCCAAAATAATATAGAACTCTTAGAAATGTGATTTTTGACTACTTTTATAATACAAGAGAATTAGTGAAGGAAACTCAGACCAAAACAGCTTTAATGAAGATTAAGGTTAAAAAAGTATCAGTTTTGTCAATGAAAATGTTTTCCCCCCTCTCCTTCTCTTTTGTTTAATTTTTTAAGAAGACTTTGAATATATTCCTCTTGTGATATTTTTTGGTTTTTACTTAGTTTTGGTTTTTTGGGAATAGGGGGTGGGGGTGGAACCTAGCTTATTCACTGGAGCGCCTTTTGGGGGGGTCTTGTTTTCAGGTTTTGTTTTTTAAACAAATGCAATACTTTTGACTGCAGTCTACAAAATATCTCTCTTCTCAAGTAGCTTTATAGAATGTCAATCTGATTAGAAAGAGTTCATTTAATAGCCTTGTGCCTACAGAAAAAAAGAAAAAGGGAAAATATGCACTGGGAAAAAAAAGGGAAAATATGCATTGACAAAAAAGGAAATGTGTTGTCTCTAATTTCACTCCAAAGAAAGTTAACACATTAAGTATACAAATCACTGGGCAGTGTTTTCTCCTTTTGAAGTATAGCTTGTATTCTGAACAGGGGATTGGCAACTGTTGAGAACGGTATCTTCCCGTCAAATAATAAGTAAATAGTGTGCACGCTGTCTCTTTTCCAATCACCAATATATATCAAGTCACTCCTAGGGCTTATACATTAAATCATTAGCTGCTCTTTTGAGAGTGTAAATATCATTGCCATCTCTTCCATAGAATCACAGAATAGTTAAGGCTGAAAAGGGCCTTAAGATCATCTTGTTCCAACACCCCTGCCGTGGGCAGGGACACCTCACACTAAACCATGTCACCCAAGGCTCTGCCAACCCAGCCTTGAACACTATGGTACACCTTACAAAGGTTATCTTTTGTTAGTTAAAAAGGAGATGTGCAAAAGAGGTTAAAGTTAGCATAATAAAACTCTGTGTTCAGTGAAGACATCTGTCTGTATGAATATCTGAAGTGCAAGAAGTTTTGCTTAGATAACTTCAGCTCATTACTTGAGATAAGGGATTTAAGAGGGATCGTACAGGAGAAGTTTACTTATAGATGTCTGATCTAGCTCATTGAAAGTCATCTGAGTATCTTCTTGTCTGACCCTTGTTCTTCCACAGAAAGTGCTTTACATCTCATTTCTTTCCACTCCAAGTGAAGGCTCTGCTGGGGTTTTATATCATTACCGTGACTAAAGTGGGCTTCTAGTCCGTAGAAGAGCCATGAACATGATCAGAGGACTGGAGCACCTCTCCTATGAGGACAGGCTGAGAGAGCTAGGCTTGTTCAGCCTGGAGAAGAGAAGGCTCCAGGGAGACCTTGGAGCAGCTTCCAGTGCCTAAAGGGGCCTGCATGAAATCCAGAGAGTGAGTTTTTACAAGGGAGTGTAGTGACAGGATAAGGGGGAATGGCTTTAAACTAAAAGAGTGTTAGATTATTATCTAATTTAAATTAAATATTAGGAAAACTTCTTTCCTATGAGGGTGATGAGGCACTGGCAGAGGTTGCCTAAAGGAGTTGTGGGTGCCCCATCCCTGGAAGTGTTCAAGGCCAGGTTGGATGGGACTTTGAGCAACCTGGTCTAGTGAAAGGTGTCTCTGCCTGTGGCATGGTGATTGGAGCCAGATGATCTGTAAGGTCCAACCCAAATCAATCTATGATTCAGCAATCCAACTCTTTAAAGAACCACTAAATTCTGCCATAGGTGAGCTGAAGTCGTGTAAATGGTTGAAGGTCATGAACTGAGCCCACAAAAGAGTGCTAGAAAGCCATAAGAGCAGAAAATTTGGGTTGGGGTTTTGTGCTTAAATGCTATCTGTCTCCTAACTCATTAGTTGAATGGAAGTGACCAGATTACAAAGTGTGTGGGGTACCAATAAACACCTTTGAAATGAATGGAGATGGAGAAAGGGTGCTAAGTTGTGTTTGGCTAGGTACTTGGATGTGGGAATACAAGTCTAGACTTGGGGTTTGTAAATATTCACTTTTTGAAGATACCAAAAAAATCACCTACATTTTAAATGGTTAAGAAAACTTTGATATGTATTTCTGCATGAAAATCCTTCATCT